TTGCTTATCTGTGGGCCCAGGGAGAGCCATGGCGGGTGCTAGAGGATGAACGTCAGCTCCCCTCCCCTTCTGGAAGGCAACGTTGTCCGGGTCACGGCTGTCACTTTCCCAGCTAGAATAGCCAGGAAGAGGTGTATTGCAATGCGGTTTACATTGCAATACATCTAACAGATTACAGGGTCTTTTTTAGGCTCTGCATGTCTCAATAAAGAGAACCTGACACCAAAACATCATCACATAGGGGACTTTGTGTTTTAAACATGTGTGCAAAAAATGCAAAAATGGCTCTGGCCCCCCAAATACAACTTCCAATCAGAGACCACTCATACTTACTATAGGATGAACACTAACCTATAAGGGTGCCTCCCCAGCTACAACTTTCAGTCAAAGCATTACAAGGAGACCACTCATGCCTCCTATTGCAAAACTAAACTATAAGGAGGAAGTTTCCAGGTTACCTGGACTTAAGGACAGCCAATTAGGCTGCAATGGTATTGTGTTAATGGTACTGTACTATTAATCTTTCTTTCGCCCAATGCATTCTGTCTGGGGAACCCCTTAAAAGGGGAAAGTGACTGGATATTTGGAGTCCTTTGAATAAATGTAATTTAACAGGCATTGTGAGTCAGTGAGTGTTGCAGACTGCTGGGGAGTGGTCTACACTCTGCACATGGTGAAGTGGAATGGATTTACATGGAGGATACATTAATGAACTGTGTTTAACACCACTTTAATGGGACTTTAGTACCTATCACTGGTGGAGTGGTCTTTATCAATGAATTGTAGAAATGTAACATTATTTATTTGCTATTTTACATTTTGATTATTCGATTGTGAATTATCACAGCATTACCTCCTATCTGGTCATTAATATAGTGTCAGATGTGTTGTATGGTGTTTATAATTCTTATAAGGTGGCAGCAGTAGATACAGTGTGTGTGTGTGTATATATATACATATATACACAGTGCATCCAGAAAGTATTCACAGTGCTTAATGTTTGCCAATTTTTTTATGTTACAGCCTTATTCCAAAATGGATTAAAATAATTTATATATATATATAGCATTGGTTACAAACTTTATTATTCTGAGGTTGATATATTCAGTGTGGTTAGAGCCTATTGTAACAAGCTCCTGAATGCAGTGTTTCAATAACATTTTTTATACAGTGCAAGGGCCTGCCCAAACTGATACAAATTGAATAGATTTTCTTAAGGTCTTGTCCTCATATTACACAGTTTTGGCTGATCTAAAAAAGATTATACAGAGATTGTTCAGTTTGATTGTATAGAGCATGATGTCTTTAACCACTAGCCTACCGGGCACTTATACTCCCTTCTTTACCAGGCCAATTTTCAACTTTCAGCGCTGTCGCACTTTGATTGACAATTGCGCGGTCATGCAACATTGTACCCATATGAAATTTTTATCATTTTTTTCTCACAAATAGAGCTTTCTTTTGGTGGTATTTAATCGCCACTGAGCACTTTACTTTTTGCGCTATAAACAAAAAAATTGCAAAACATTTAAAAAAAAAATGTTTTTCTTTGTTTCTATTATAAAATTTTTCAAACAGGTAATTTTTCTCCTTCACTGATGTGCGTTGATCAGGCAGCACTGATAGGCACTGATAGGTAGGACTGATGGGCACTGATAGGCAGCACTGAAGGGCACTGATAGGCGGCACTGATAGGCAGCACTAATGAGGTGGCACGTATGATGATCGGTGCTGATCCCTGCTCTGACAACTGCCGGTTCTCGGCAGTACTTTCCTTGCGCTCTGACAGCGTGAGGAAAGTGCAGCCGAGAACCGGCGATTGCATTTCCCGGTAATCAGCGTGTCATTGGACACGGCTGATCACGTGGTAAAAGGCCGCTGTGATTGGCCTTTTACCACATCACGTGATCAGCTGTGTCCGTAGGACACAGCGATCACGGAGATCGTCGGGTGCGCGTCATCGGGCGCGCGCCCCCGGGGACGCGCAGGAGAGCGCGTTCTGGGAGGACGTCATATGATGCCCTCCCAGAACTAGCCGGCCGCAGTGTAGCCGTCATTCGGCTATCTGCGGTTGGCAAGAAGTTAAAGAAAAAAGTAACAGTATACCAGGTTCTATGTTTCTAGTCAATGAAAACACACTTTTCCAATATTCTTGTCAGATCCATTTCGAGTGACACTTTTCATAATGCATTCAAACACCCACAGTAGAAAGCATCATGCTGCATTTGTTATTCATTGTACACCCAGTAAAGTCACTGACAGTAATTCCATATGTGTTAATAGCTCAGATAAAAGCCTGCTTATTACTGTGCCATATTTATTTTATTAGATTCTTTATATTGTGTGCTGCAATGTGTTTACTTTTCTTCAATCCTTATAATATCATTGCACAGCACAGTGAAAATAGTTGTGAGGTGCTGTGGTATGATACATGTATCATCACTACCCTCTTGAGGGCCACTGTGTTTCTAGGTCCCCTAAACTCTGCACAGCCAGGCAACACACATTTTTCATACTTGCATCCACAGTCAGTGAACAGTCCATGCGCTTGATTTTTGTTATTTTATTAGGGGAAATAACTTGGATAGGGTAATAGGGATTATGGGATGTCCAACTTGACAGAATCAATGCAAGGGACCATTTCCTTCCTATTTACAGAAACAGGTCCTGGACTGTTCTTTTCCTTGAAAGCTGTCAGTCTTTGCAGATTAGTAGCAACTGCCCCTTATGGGCGATGGACTCACAACCCCTCTGACAATCATCTTAACTTCTTGCAAACTACATGCAACCTACATGGTGTCTCCTCTCCCCTGTAGAACTGCCTCCAGTTACACAGCTTGCAAACTCTACTAGCCCTCCTGGCTGCTCTGAAGATCTCCCAGGACAAGCATAAAGGATTAAGCAGAGAGCTGTCCTTTTGAAAGACTTGTCAGTCTTTCCCCTTGTAAGTCTCTGGGTGTGCTGATGTACTCACTCTCCTCCTTACTCCCACTGCTCCCAGGCCTTGATCCTGTTCATGCTGTACTGCTGAATGGACTCTCCTGAGCCACCCCGAGCCCAGCCTGGAGGCCAGCCCCCCCTATACCTAGGGGATCCCTCCCAGGCTACCAACAGCCTCCTCAGCACTCCATCTTCCACCCGACTCCCCTGCTAGCCTGACTCTCCCATATTTATGAAATGGCCTCACCACTCTAAACCTGGGATTGGTTAGATTCTGATATACATGCAAATTAGGTCTCCATGTCTTCTGCCCACTGGCTTCTGGAAGGTTCTATGACCCTCCAGAGCCAAATGGAGGAGATAGAGTCCCAACCTGTTAAGCAATCCAGCTTGACCTGCAGTAACCTGTCCTTAATCACAGACTCACACAGTTACCATGAGTTATACACAATACATTTACTTACACTACACTAGCAGCACACTAGAGGGTGCTACACATGGTTAAAAAGACACACCATTCAATGATCCTCGGCTTTCTACAATTTATAAACCACGAGGTATTAAAAACAAAATCTTTGTTTTAGGCTAACTTCACACTTGTGTGTTGGGGTAACGTGTGCGTGTATGATGGTTGTAGGTAGGTGCAATCTGCTTCCTCCACTGAAGGTGGCACATGACCAGAGTGGAACTGCAGCCTGGAGAGGAAGAAACATGGTTTCCCTATGGTTTCCTGGGCCCTGAAGGCAGTGTTCCAGTTGGCTACACTACATCCAAGTGACCCCTGACTAGGCTGCATTCCATGCTCTGAAGACAGACATTGTTAGAGGATTTTTACCAGCTGCTTCTCCGCCAAGAACTGAACTGTGAGTGTTATCCTAAGTGGCGCTCTCCCTCTGGGGTTGTTTGTCGATGGCATTTTTCTGCAATACAAGTTCTTAGTTTATCTGCAACTGGACTCAATAGTTGAGATACAGTCAAAATGATTGATCATATCTCTGTTTCCATCAGGTTCTCATAATACAACCATATTCATGAATATAGTATCTCAGTGCTGTTGAATGGTGCAACATAATGGATATTAGTCTTTAAAGTATGTCTGGCAATACATTATGCAATTTTCTCGAGACATTTGCTTTAGATTTACCAAAAAACATATAATATGAGGTCAAATCTAAACAAAATTGTATCCAATTACGCAGGCCCTTGCACTACATCACGGCTGGCCCTCCAGCTGTTGCCTACCACAAGTCCCATAAGGCATTGCAAGATTGACAGTTACAAGCATGACTCCCAAAGGCAGAGGCATGATGGGACTTGTAGTTTTGCAACAGCTGGAGGGCCGCCAGTTTGACAACCCTGCACTACATAGTTGAAATCTAAAGGAAATTGGGCAGAAATTGGAAAGAAAATTGTATAGTGTATGGCCAGCCTAAGACTAAAGGCAAAACATTTTTGTTTAGTTTTTGATTGGAGAAGGATTAGAACACCTGTTAGATTTCTATTGCTGCCTCTGCCCCCATTAGGGAGATTCACCCTCTCCATTTGTCCTGTTTACCAATATCGTCAACAATGAAAGTAAAAGAAAATCTGAAATTTTGAGTTGTCACCAGAACAGTAAGAGAGGGGAAATCTTCTTCTTCTAATGGGTACACTAGTTTTCTCTCACTACTTACTTTGGCTATGGGGCAGGAAGTGAAGGTGAATCTCCCCAATGTACTACAGATGGCCAAAAAAACCTGTCAGGGGTTGTGACCTTCCCTTACTCTAACCCAAATGAAAAAAAAAAATAGCTTATAGTTCTGCTTTAATTGATCAACTCAGTTTCATTGAATCCAATAGAAAGGGAGTCCTAAACAATTGAAGGGAATTTATCACTTGTCAATTGTTTGCAGATTTGATCACTTTGATCTGATACAAAACTTGAACTGTTGGTGTGGTGTTAAACGAATGGCACAGATACGCACATCTGTTGCAAGAATGGTGGCCATTCTTGCAACAGATGTGCGTATCTGTGCCATTCGTTTAGAATGGCACCCTAGTGCATAAAGTAGCTGCCAATGTACTTGTTACCTGAAAATAAGTGAAAGAACATTGCTCTAGTCTGGTCATTTGTGCTGCAACATTAACCCCTTGACGCCGATGTAACACAAATATGCGGCCTCACTAGACTGGGCTTTTTTCCGTGGGGCCGCATATCAGTGGTTTTACTGAGAGCACCGGGTCCCGTTCTAACTATCGGGACCTGGGACTCCCAATTCTGGGTCACATGGTCGCTGTGATAGCCTCTGATTGGCTATCACAGTGATCAGTCACTGTACAGCCCGTCCCCCTTGTTTTTTTTTTTCTCTCTATGAATGGAGGAGAGATACATTGTATCTCTCTAACTCCTGGCATAGAGGAAAAAAAATGTTTGCAAAAAAAAAAAGCAAAGATAAATAAATATTAAAAAATAAAAAATAAAGAAAAAATACCTAGATCAAGGTCTAGTTCAGTGCCACAGTAAGTGTTTGGGTCAAGATCAGGGTCAAAGGTCAAGGTCAGGAACAAAGGTCAGGATTGTCAGTGTGTTTTAGGTTAAAAAAAAACAAAATGCGCACTATTGTTTCTGGGCTGTACTACGGGTACAAACAACAAATAACATACACCTATATGGTATCACTGTGATCGTCAAGAGCTGGAGAATTCATTTTGGGTTGTTCTTTGGTGGTAGGTTATGGTAGTAAAAAGAAACACACAGCTAAAAAAAAAAGTGATTTTTTTTTTTTTTTACTATTTTGGGCCATTTTTCCTTTGATAACAAAAAAAAATCAGGAGATATCCATTACCATTTACCACCAAATGGAAGTCCAATTTGTCCTGAAAAAAGCGCGGTATAATTCACCCAGATGTACAAAGTAGTTCTGATGATATGTACGGTTTTACTAACACAGGTCAACATTGCAAAATTGTGCTTGGGCATAAGATCTGTTGTAAGTAAATTTATTGTGCTTGCCGTGTTATTACTAACAGAGTTTGTGTCCCACAGTTGGCATTCAGTTAGATATGGTGGGCACTGTAATCACCCATTACTTTTGAAATGAATTATATTCGTAATAGAGGGCTCTTATGGTTGTTACAGCTGTAGTAAACTATGATATACAATTTCTACCCACAGGTAAGTCTTACCTGTAGACACAGTGACCATCTCCTAAACTGGGGGTCAGCAACCAGTAGATCGCGGCCAGGTAACTGGTAGATTGTGGTCAGGGCTTGCTGATCCGCCATCCCACAGCATCAGAGTGCAATGCAGAGGGACTACTTGTAAAGTTGGAGCTGAGATAGGGAGTTGATGCCTCCTTTGTAGTGCTGGCTCCTGTTCCATGCAGAGTGATATCAACTGCACTCCACCTCTGATCCCCGTTAGTGGCCTCCAGAGTGATGCCAGCAGCAGGAAAGAATAGATCTTCAGGTCAGTGTGAAGAAGGAATACACAAGGCATAATAGTATAGAGCTGCTTTCACACTTATGCACTGCGATCTGCCCACACCGCGAGTGCAGTGCAGTGTACCTGCAGATTTCCTGTGGGTTTGCTGCACCTAGCCATAGACTTCTATTATATCCTCCTGGAGTTTTAGTGCACTTCCAGAATGTGCACCACACCTGCAGTATATAATTGAAGTCTATGGCAAAGCGTAGCTAACCCAGGAAAGTTGCAGGTGCACTGTGCTGCACCCACGGTGCAGGTAAACTGCAGCAGATTAGTGTGAAAGCAGCCTTAAAGGGGGCTCTGAACAGTAAGGGTTGATTTACTTTGCAGTTTGGGAGGTGTTAAAATCTCATAGTTAAGACATTCTTTTACCACTCATGCCCCAACCGCACCCCAATTAGCTGCAATGGCCAGGGGTGTACACATGTTGCAGCCACAGCAGGAGTTATACACCCTGTCATGGTTGGTGGGTGCAGCACCTGCCAAACATGACCCATTCAAGCGAATGAGGCCGCTCTGCAAGTACCCTGCAACTTTGTGCAGGCAGTGTTATATTGTGTTACTTTCTCACCACCTGCTTTAACCCCTTGGACCCAGCAGAAGCATACAGTTTCAGGGCGCTTGCACAGTGGCCCCATTTACTTGAATGGGTCATTTTTGGCAAACCATAGCTCCCACTAAAAGCAACAGGGGGTTTTAATTTTCTGCAACGGCATGTGTACACCTTTAGCTGGATTGGTGAAAGATTTTTTGGTGAGAAAACAGCTGGCCAATGAGTGTAACCTTTCATTTGTGTGTATCTCCCCTCCTGTAATTGGATGGTGACAGCAGTTACCCCAGGACTGTTATCTGGACTGTTATCTGGACTGTTATCTTCAGCTTTGCCTTTGGATCTGCCCTCCTCTATTTTTACCTCTTCGCAGTCCATTTTCATGGAGTAATGCTGCACATTTCGTGGGCGAACAGTGGTTAGCTAACTGTTATTTGGTTGCTGTAAGATATTACTGCTTAAGTCTTGGTGGCTAAGCATGTTAGTCTGTTAATGGTTAACAGCAGTTCTGTATGGTCATAAAAGATAAAGTGGTTGTAAACCCTTACATATACCCAATGAAGTGGCTGGCCTCTGGTGATACACAGAGATAAAACAAATCATCCTACATATGTTGTACCTGTTTATCTGCACCCTTCTCTTCTCTACATTCATTCAAAGTGCTGAATTTTTAAAGCTTGTCTGAGAATTCAGAAAAAAAAGGAGGCAGAAAGCTGAAAGGGATTGTAAACCCTCACCCTGTAAAAGAACCCATTCAGTTTAACATAGAAATGAAAGGCAAAACATTTGTGCATAGATATAAAAAAAAATGTTGTTATAAGTGATCACATTCCCTTTGTTCTCAGCTGCATACGAGTTAGGGGAGGAGAAACAGCAGAACACTGGTCTTCCCAGTGAATGACTGTGCAAGGGGGGGTGAGTCAAGACAAATGTGATCATTGGAAAAGAGCAGACTGAGCTCCTAGCACAGCTAGAGAACTGACCACACTATCCTGCTTAATGTGATACGTTTTTAAAAGGAAAGCAGAGGGACTGGCAGGTACACCAAGGATTACACACAAAGAAAGCAATACAAAGAGAACAGGATACGTTTTCATAAATGTACATGGTACAGCAAGCACATATCAGGAATATGGAATGTTGGGTTTACATGTTCTTGAAGTTACACTCTGCTCAGCTCAGTGAGGAAAGCTCTGAGAGCTGATTGGAGGGAACTGACACACCCCTTTCACACAGCACACAGGAACAGAGCCGAGGCTGTCAATCTGCTGGAGGTCCCTCCCCTGTCACCTTTTTTCTATTGGTGTCTTGTCAGAAGTGATTCATGCTGATCACAGAGGAATTATCCATCAGACAGAAATGGTGCTTAGTGATCTTAACTGAGACAACTACACACCATATTTCATGTCTGAGGTTTACAACCACTTTAAAGTCTGTTTCATAAATTAAAATTTATTTAAACCCAGCAATGGAGCCATGGCCTAAAGTTTTCCCACAACCTTTATCCTGTGTTTACTTTATTACTTGGTTATATTGTTATAGTATGATGGATGTTAATGGGATGTACAATCCTACGCGTCACAGTAGCTTAGCGCTTAGTGGTTAGCACTTCTGCCTAGCAGCACTAGGGTTGTTGGTTTGAATTCCAACTATGGCACTACCTGAATGGAGGTTGAATATTTTCTTATGCCTGAGTGGGTTTCTTCCCACACTCCAAAGACCTGCTGGTAGGTTATATGTCTCCTGTCTAAATTGGCCCTAGTACACTATATTGCCAAAAGTATTGGGACACCCCTCCGAATCTTTGGATTCAGGTGTTCCAATCACCTCCATGGCCACAGGTGTATAAAATCAAGCACCTAGGCATGCAGACTGCTTCTACAAACAATTGTGAAAGAATAGGTCGCTCTCCGGAGCTCAGTGAATTCAAGCGTGGTACTGTGATAGGTTGCCACCCGTGCAATAAGTCTATCTGTGAAATTTCCTTGCTACTAAATATTCCACGGTCAACTTTTAGTTGTATTATAACAAATTGGAAGCAAATGGGAACAACAGCAACTCAGCCATGAAGTGGTAGGCCACGAAAAATGACAGAGTGGGGTCAGCACATGCTGAAGTACACAGTGCGCAGAAATCGCCAGCTAAAGTCCTCCAAATTTCATGTGGCCTTCAGATTAGCACAACAACAGTGCATAGAGAGCTTCATGGAATGGGTTTCCATGGCTGAGCAGCTGCATGCAAGCCTTACATCACCAAGTGCAATGCAAAGCGTTGGATGCAGTTGTGTAAAGCACACCGCCAATGGACTCAAGAGCAGTGGAGACGTGTTCTCTGGAGTGACGAATCTTGTTTCTCTGTCTGGCAATCCGATGGACTTGTCTGGGTTTGGCGGTTGCCAGGAGAATGGTACTTGCCTGACTGCATTGTGCCAAGTGTAAGGTTTGGTGGAGGGGGGATTATGGTGTGGGGTTTATCAGGGGTTGGGCTTGGCCCCTTAGCTCCAGTGAAGGAAACTCTTAAGGTGTCAGCATACCAAGACATTTTGGACAATTTCATGCTCCCAACTTTGTGGAAACAGTTTGGGGATGGCCCCTTCCTGATCCAACATAAATGCACATAGGGCTTTTTTTCAGCAGGAACGTGGGGGAACGCTGTTCCGGCGCCTACAGCACTGGGTGCTGGGGTGTGCTGGAGGGTCTATTGATGCTTGCTGCTGGAGTATCCATTATTGCTGGAGGGAATCTATTTTTGAGTGGGGGGTCTACTGTTGCTTTTTGGGGATCTGTTGTTTCAAGGGGGGTCTGATCTTTCTGGGAGGCCATTTGTTGCTGGGAGGAATCTATTGTTGAGGGAGGGGTCTATTATTGCTGGCTGTTTGAGGGTTTAGAGATTTGATGTTGCTGCTGGGTCTATTGTTGCTCCATCATGTTCTAACTTGCTCTTACATCCAGACTCACAGCCCTGGTGGTGGCGTTATAAAGAGAATTTCAGCTTCTGTGTCCTGGCAGAAATGAACACATCCTTCCTGCCAGAGATTTGTGCCTGGAACAAACAAAAGGAAGCTAATTTTTCTAATTTGAAACTGTGAATCAGCCTCAAACTTTGCTTGAAAATTGGGAAAAAGTACAAGTGGAGCTTTATCTCTGCTACAACAGGCTTGTGGCGAACATTTCACAAAGAAATCAAATGTTTTTGAAAGGCACAAGCGGTTAGAGGAGGCTTGGGAAGATGTCCACAATGAAGCAAAAAGTGGACAGCCAATAATACAAAGGATGCAGATGAGGACAGTACACTCAGACTGAAGAATATGTGAAAGATGGCAGAAGAATTTAACATCAACAGGGAAACAGGTTCTAACGGAGGATTTGGGAATGAAAAAGATTAATGCAACTATGGTGCCTTGAATCTTGATCAGAAAGAATGTCGTCTTCAAATTTCATCTGATCTTCTGAAGAATGCAGAGGTGTTTTTTTTATTTTTAACAGTCCATTCTGGGAATTTAATATTTGAACCTCGTATATGTAAAGCATTGTGTAAATTGTCAGCGCTATATAAGTACCTGTAATAAATAATCAGTCAACTGTTTTATAGTTGGTGGCATCTTTATTGAACTTCTCCCCCTCCTAAGGCTCCTGTTGACTATAACTATTATGGACAGCCCTATTGAATAGCAGGAGCGGTCAGAAGACAAGAGGGGGGCCGGCCTGTCATCATAAAATGTTGACGATATACAGGTGAAACTCAAAAAAATAGAATATCGTGCAAAAGTTCATTTATTTCAGTAATGCAACTTAAAAGGTGAAACTAATATATGAGATAGACTCATTACATGCAAAGCAAGATAGTTCAAGCCGTGATTTGTCATAATTGTGATGATTATGGCTTACAGCTCATGAAAACCCCAAATTCTAATTTTTCGAGTTTCACCTGTCACAGCTGCATC